TCCCAACCATGTAACACGATTGGGACCTACTTAAAAAAGAAATTGTGTGATTGACTAGTTTGCTGCCCGAGTACTATTTATCAGCTAAAGTTTGGATTCTGCTATTGTTTCTACAATGACATTTGGTATGAGGCAAAGTCCTTGGATTAAAATAAATACTTAGTGAAAAATTAAAGAAACGAAACCCCTCCATGCTGCTGTTGGTGTGTGCAAGGTGAAAGGCTGAATGACCCAAAGGACAGATTTCACACACAGGAGGTGGGGCCGAAAGACACTCCTTGAGAGGAGGTGGGGCTGCGTGCCTTGCGTGAGAGGAGGCGGTGCTGAGTGCCCTGCGTGGCAGGAGGCGGGGCCGCGTGCCCTGCGTGACAGGAGGAGGGGCCGCGTGCCCTTCATGACAGGAGGTGGGGCCCGCCTATCCTTCCTGAGAAGGCCGGGGGCGGGGGGGGTTACACCACCCCAAGTGATAAGAGACAGACAAGCCGTGCCCTGAGTGAGAAAAGGCAGGGCCCCTTGCCCAGTCTGAGAGGAGGGGCGCTGCATGCCGTGCGTGACAGGAGGAGGGTCCCTGTGCCCTGTGTCACAGGAGGAGGGGCCATGTGCCTTGCGTGACAGGAGGGGTGTTGTCTGCTTTGCGTGACAGGAGGAGGGGCCACGTGCCCTGCGTGACAGGAGGAGGGGCTGGGTGCCGTGCATCACAGGACTGGGGCTTCGTGCCTTGCGTGACAGGAGGCTGGGCTGCATCCCCTCCCTGAGAGGAGGCGGGGCTGTGTGACAGGAGGAGGGACTGCGTCCAGTGCGTGAGAGGAGGCGGTGCTGCGTGCCCTGCGTGACAGGAGGAGGGGCCGCGGGCCCTTCATAACAGGAGGTGGGGCCCGCCCAGCCTTCCTGAGAAGTGGGGGTGGGCCACACCACCTCACGTGATAAGAGACAGACAAGCTGTGCCCTGAGTGAGAAAATGCAGGGCCCCTTGCCCAGCCTGAGAGGAGGGGCGCTGCATGCCCTGCGTGAGAGGAGGAAGGGCCATGTGCTCTGTGTGACAGGAAGAGGGGCCGTGTGCATTGCGTGAGAGGGGCTCCGTGCCCTGTGTGACATAAGGAGAGGCAGCATGCCTTGCGTGACAGGAGGAGGGGCCATGTGCCCTGCATGACAGGAGGGGTGTTGCCTGCTTTGCGTGACAAGAGGAGGAGCCATGTGCCCTGCCTGAGAGGAGGGGCTGCATGCCCTCCGTGACAGGAGGAGATGCTGCGTGCCCTGCGTGACAGAAGCAGGGGCCACGTGCCCTGCATGGGAGGAGGCGGTCCCCTAGGTTTTTTTCTAGAATCTTTATAGTTTTGCATTTTAAGTCTGAGGACTATTTTGAGTGAATTTTTTGTGGCAGTTGTAAAGTTCATGTCTACACTTATTTCATTACATATTTTCCACTTAATTCTTCCTGCCCTCACCCTTTTTCTAGAAGAGAAAGGGTCGCAAGCCGCATCTCACTTTGACTTTCCAAATCCTGGCACTGAATACTCTAACTCGGACTTTAACTGGTTCGGCGGCATGGCCAGGAGAGGGCGCTTGCGATCTCACTGTGAGCTCTGAGGGGCGCTGTGCGGATGATGGGCAGCAGGGGGCGGAGTGCGCATGGTGTCCTGTAGTACCACGCCTGGCGTGAGAGGAGGCGGGGCCGCTAGGCCCAGGGTGAAGGGGGCGGGGCCGAGAAGTGCAGCGTGCAGAAAGTGGGGCTGCTGCGCCCTGCATGAAAGGAGGAGGGGCGCAACATGCCTTGCGTGTGAGGAGGCGGGGCTGCGTTCTGTGCGTCAGGGGAGGGGGGCCGCCTCCTTGCCCTGCGTGAGAGGAGGGGCACTGCGTGCCCTGCTTGTCAGGAGGCGGGGCTGCGTGCCCTGCATGTTAGGAGGTGGGGCTGCGTGCCCTGCGTGTGAGGAGGCGGGGCTGCGTGCCCTG